ATATTTGTACTTAAAATAACCACCGAATTATTACTGTGAGCAAAAAAAATTGGTTTCGAAATTTTATATTTTTTTTGGTATTCGGCTGACTTGCAATTTTTCGAAAAAAATAAAATTAGTTTCTAAACATATGTATTTCTTCCAAAATATCACCTCGGACGATAGAAGAGTCTAATAGTCCATTTCCACCAAGCCTTACCTGCAGTTTACGCCTTTTGGAAAACGCATACTACAAATCGAAGGAGTTAGTTGTTCATATTAAGTAACGGGTGATTTTTTAAGAGCTTGATACCTTTTTTTTTAAAAAAAAACGCATAAAATTTGCAAAATCTCATCGGTTCTTTATTTGAAACGTTAGATTGGTCCATGACATTTACTTTTTGAAGATAATTTCATTTAAATGTTGACCGCGGCTGCGTCTTAGGTGGTCCATTCGGAAAGTCCAATTTTGGGCAACTTTTTCGAGCATTTCGGCCGGAATAGCCCGAATTTCTTCGGAAATGTTGTCTTCCAAAGCTGGAATAGTTGCTGGCTTATTTCTGTAGACTTTAGACTTGACGTAGCCCCACAAAAAATAGTCTAAAGGCGTCAAATCGCATGATTTTGCTTATTTACGAAGCCATTCAACCAGAAATGAGCCTCATCGCTGAACAAAATTTGTCGATAAAAAAGCGGATTTTCTGCCAACTTTTCACACATTCAACACATTTCGAACCGAACACTGATTTTGGTAATAAAATTCAATGATTTGCAAGCGTTGCTCGTTAGTAAGTCTATTCATGATGAAATGTCAAAGCATACTGAGCATCTTTCTCTTTGACACCATGTCTGAAATCCCACGTGATCTGTCAAATACTAATGCATGAAAATCCTAACCTCAAAAAAATCACCCGTTAGAAGCTAACGAAAAAAAAAAATTGAGAAACAAACCTTGCCGATCCCTTTTTGTTAAAATTATTGTAGCTCATTTAAGCTCCTAACTGCAGTTAACCATTTGGTGGAAATGGGCTATTAGCATTAAAGGTTTACTTAAAAATATTTAAAAATTTTATCAGCAGAATCAAAATAATTAAATTTTTGGAGGAATTTTGAAATCAGTCCAGCTTACGTAAATCTTAATATTCTTCCGCAATGTGTTGGCGGAAATTAATGATTTCGGTGGAAAAAGCGCAACATTTTATTGGCGATACATCCTAATGTATATTTATAAGTTGAGTGAGAATTCAAAGAATGAGAAAAGCTTCCGGACCGAAAATAGCATGAATTAGTTAAACATGAAATATTAATTACAGCAAAAAAAAAAAAATTTCGATAAAAATATGGATATTGGTGTCGATAAGTGTATCGATAAATCTAAATCGTTCGAGCTATCGATAGTAATCCAACACTACTAAGTATTAAGCTTGAAATTGATGTTATCGATGAATAAATTAAAATCGAATATATAGACATATGTTTTGTGTGCGATCTGGAAACCGATAAATCGACCAATATGCCCAATAATCCCTTTACAAGAAGAGTTGAAAAGTAGCGAGATTAGGTAAGATAATTCTTAGTACATGCTTTTGCATTAGATGCATATTTTAAAATTAGGTATAGCGGAACATATATATTGCGAGCTGTCGTATCGTCATCAGTCTCCAAGTTCCTAACATTCAAAGCGTTGAAAGTTCCTAACATTCGATGGTGGTTGTATGTGGACGAGTTGAAGTACATACATCGTTTAAAGTGCAAAACCGCGTATCAACAAAATGCAAAACCGCGTATCAGAAAAATGCAAAACCGCGTATGTGAAGCTGTAGAAATTATTTTCTAGAGCATAAAAACACTCATATTTCAAAATGGTTTACTTTTTTATAAATCAATCGCATTTCTGGCTAGTATATTCCACGACGAATGGATAAGGATTTAGCCAAGAGCTTGTGTGAGCAAATCCAATTTTTAGCAGCCAATGTCAGTTACGCGGTTTTGCAGAATGACGATATGCGGTTTTGTACTTTAAACGACGATATATTTATTAGTCCTTCTTTACCCAGTGCCGAAAATTGAAAGATATGCTCTGACATTTCATTTTGCCTTTGGGGACAAATGAATTCGGTGCATAAGAGAACGCAAGATATTGTAATAACCAGTTGGTAGCTACACCATGACATCATAAGTTTCGAAGAGGACTTGCTGATGTGTCGTCTCTCGCCAGTCCGTTGGCGACTTGAGCCCCTGCGATGCGGCAGTGGTTTCGTACATATGTATGCTGGTACTACTGGAAATATGCCACTACTACTTGCATCTTTGAAAGGCTTATAGGCCTCTTCCTCTGAACGGGCGTTGTTCTTGGCAAAGATAGAATTGGGCGACGACTGTGCTCACGTCAAAGGATTCCAACAGAACTGCCTCCTTTGAATTTGCAATATTAGTAATTCTTTATCTAATATATAAAAATCTCGTGTCACGGTGTTAGTGGTCGAACTCCTCCGAAACGGCTGGACCGATCTTTATGAAATTTTTTGTGTATATTTGGTAGGTATGAGAATCGGATGTAAAGTATATTTCATACCGCTAGGTGCAGGGGGCGTGGCACCTCCCATACAAACCGAATATTTCATACTGCATATCTCTGGAAGTGTTCATGGTAGAGTACTCTAACTTGGTATGGAGATATATCAAACCAATCGCATACTCATGGAGAAAAATTGTGATTATTGGAAAAGGGGGCGGGGCACGTCCCATACAAACCGATTTTTTCATACTACATATCTCTGGAAGTGTTCATGGTAGAGTACTCTAACTTGGCATAGAGATATCAAACCAATCGCATACTCACGGAGAAAAATTGTGGTTATTGGAAAAGGGGGCGTGGCACCTCCCATACAAACCGAATTTTTCATACTGCATATCTCTGGAAGTGTTCATGGTAGAGTACTCTAACTTGGCATGGGGATATATCAAACCAATCGCATACTCATGGAGAACAATTGTGGTTATTGGAAAAGGGGGCGTGGCACCTCCCATACAAACCTAATTTTTCATACCGCATATCTCTGGAAGTGTTCATGGTAGAGTACTTTAACTTGGTATGCAGATATATCAAACCAATGGCATACTCATGGAGAAAAATTGTGGTTATTGGAAAAGGGGGCGTGGCACCTCCCATAGAAACCGAATTTTTCATACTGCATATCTCTGGAAGTGTTCATGGTAGAGTACTCTAACTTGGTATGGAGATATATCAAACCAATCGCATACTCATGGAGAAAAATTGTAGTTATTGGAATAGGGGGCGTGGCACCTTCCATACAAACCGAATTTTTCATACTGCATATCTCTGGAAGTGTTGATGGTAGAGTACTCGAACATGGTATGGAGATATATGAAACCAATCGCATGCTCATGGAAAAAAAATTTTGATTATTGGAAAAGGAGGCGTGGCACGTCCTATACAACCGAATTTTTCATACTGCATATCTCTAAAAGTGTTCATGGTAGAGTACTAGAACATGTTATGGAGATATATGAAATCAATCGCATACTCATGGAGAAAAATTCGGACTATTTGAAAAGGGGGCGTGGCACCTCCCATACATACCGAATTTTTCATAATAAGTACCTCTGGAAATGTTCATGGTAGAGTACTGGAACTGGGCATGGCACCTCCCATACAAGTCAAATTTTTCTTATTGAATATCTCTATAATTACTCTTAGTAGAGTACTGGAACTTGGTGTGGTGATATATGACATTAATTGCATAGTCATGTAGAAAATATGGAGCTATTGGAAAAGGGGTCGTGGCACCTACCATACAAGCAGAATTTCATACTGCATATCTCTGGAAGTGTTCGTGGTACAGTACTGGAACACTTCGTGTGGAGATATATGAAATTAATCACATGCTCATTGAGAAAAATCGGCTCTTTAAAAAGGGGGCGTGGAAAAGTAATCCACCAGTTGGCGCTGGAGTTGAGTTAGTACTAAAAATTTTTTATGATCCGGTTTGGCGAATATTCAAAACATGTATTAGAAACGGTAAAGGCAGTCCAATTGCAAAAAAGAGCTGGTAGGTGGTGCTGAGGTCGAGTTATTACTAAAAATCTAAAAAGTTAGAAAAGGTGCCGTAAATGTCAGACTAAATCGACCCGTTGCACTATTGAGTATATCGAACTCTCCTGTGTTACGATTGACCCAATGGATGTGATTTGCCAATATTATTATGCGTTAGAGCCTCATTCGAAGAAACCAGGGTTGAGTTGTGCAGTGGTAAATCTCAAGTCACCACCTGTCGAAATACCTTAAAAGCCAGTTTCATGAAAGCAATTTAATGAAAATTTATTTTTTTAATTGAATTTAATACCTGACAGAAAAACATAATTTTTCACTTAAATTACTTTCGCGAAACTGGATTTTAAGGTATTTCATCTCAGTTTATGTATGTATATTATATTTCTGTTGAACAAGGATACGTATTGATATTGAAATTGCCACCAACTATAAGATAAAGTTTCTAGGGCACATTCACTATAGATCCGGCTCATTGTGGCCACCAGGGAACTTCTCATGGACATAACACTTTCGTTCGGTTATTTAAGGCGGCAAACGACCACCAAACGATAGTCTTAGCCGATGAATGTGCAGTACAAATCGTAAATGTGGATTGTTGGAGAAACTGTTGTACCAAAATGTTTAAATTAAAAATCTAATTTAGGGCGGGACGAAGTTCGCCGGGTCTGCTAGTTTTATTATATAAATCTTCGGCATGATTTATAAGATTACGCTTAAGAAACATAATAAGTTGAAAAAAATTGCGCAACAAGAACCGTAAATGTTTTAGTGCTTTCTTGGCTTGAAAGTCGTAAATCTTTATTTAGCTGTTCCTATTGAAAATGAAAGCCAATTTTCTGCTTCAAGATTTATTATTTGCTGCAATAAATTTAATAACTGTTGCATATATGTACATACATATGTTTGTAAGCATATGTATATACTATATAATTTTGCTTCCACTTACCGCTGCCAAAAGGAAATCAAAATTGCACACGGCTATCTGCTTAAATTTCGCTATATCATCGGAACGCATCAAATGATGCCAACTCTCCTCCACATGTCGCATACTGTATGAAACATCAGCGGCAATGGGATTGTAAAAGGTGGATGTGTCATCGTTGTGATGTGATGAAGCTTTACGCTCTGATGCTGAAATGCTTTCCTTCTCCTTTTGACTGATTACTGAAAGGATGATTAAAAAATGTGGATACAATTTTAAGCAAATATAAAGTATGTACATACATACGTAGAAGAATAATATGCTCAAATGTGAGGCTCTATAAATTTTGCTTGGGAAAAATTTTATTGTTATATATAAGTATGTGTAAGCGTGATTGACTCTGTCTTCTCAAACCGGTTTCCACAGTTGTTTTTTTTTTGCATATTTTCAGGCGCGTTTTTTTTTGAAACATTAATTTTTTGATTATGGAATTTTGTTTTACTAAAAATTTAGCTATAAAAAATTTATTAATTTTATCCTAAACACTGGAAAATCTTCCTTAAGCTTGATTGACCGGAAGCTAACTTTTTGTCTTGACTTATGCTTAACTGCCCTCAATATGAAATTTTCCGTTATTTGGGAACCACATATATTTAATTAAGAAGTCCATTCAGAAAATTTTTTCAACATCAATTAGAAGCACAGGTGAGAGTTGGTAGTCGGAAGAATTTATAATCCGAATATTTGGAACTCCGGATAGTTATTTGTGTAGCATTGAAAATTGTGTAATCCGAATTTATTGGAACTCTATAGTCCGTCTCTCCTAGGTTTCACAAGTTTTCAATATCAAAATTCGAAAGCGAATATAACGAACTATAGAGCAAAGTTTTGCTACATATTGAGCTAAATTTTGATTCAGAATTGAGCGTGATGCATTCTGTTCAAATATGCTACTTCTTTAAATTTATAATTCAGAATTCCTTAATTACAACTTAAACAAGTATGTAGCAATACTTCGATAATTCCGCGTACTAGAAAAATGGAATAAAGGTATTACGGAATATGCAATAAAAGCAGACAAAATCGGACGTAATTCATATTTATTTTTAAGTAATTTTTATTTTCCGTATATGAGCCATTCTTTTTCATATCAGACAAAAAAATTTAGCGTCACACTTTCGACTCGCTTAACTTTTTTACGGCTTCTCTATATGAAATAAGCTACCACGTATTCGAGGAACTTTTATTCTTCTTTTTCTTCGGAGAGATGATCTGTCATAGTTCGAATTTTTTCGTGATTCTGACCATTCATGTACTTCTTCAAATCGTTAAATGTATCTCGGATTCCTCTCATCGCAGAGACTTCACCTTAATGTCGTTTTAAAGCTAAAGAAACAGGCTTAATATTTTTATGTAAAAGATGGTGGATTGTCCTTAAAGCTTTTAGCTTTAAACAATTGAACTTTTTGAAGTTGATTTACATAGTGAAGACCAATAAACTAGGGATATACCATCGTAATACCTGATTAGTTCTCTATGAAAACGGGCATTTTTCAATAACTATTTTTAGAATATTTTTTTTTATGAGGAGATTTTTTTTGTGAGTCAAACATTTTTTCAAATTTATTTTCGAAAACTTAGGAAGAGATATATTTAGCAAGGTGTTAACAATCGGGTTTTTGCAAAACTCTAAATTTTATTGCGTATTCCGATAGAAATTTGAAGCGAATCGGAGACAAATAGACTTCAAAAAGAATGCCTCATATGAAAATCCTTCCACAACACATTATTCTCCTACCATGTCAGAAACAACAACAACGAATATAAGAACTTTTGATTTACATTACATACATTTCAGATATCTGGCTAACAGTAAGTGTTATCACTGTATGAGAAATATGTAAAATAAAACCAGTTTTTCTTAATTTGAAAATTTAGAGCCGGTTTTTTCCAGATTGCCATTTTTCAAATAACTCGTGATGTCGGATCTTAAAGTAAGTGGCTGTCGGCCAACTTCATTGAAAGCGACTAGTTCAAAGGCCATTTAAAAAATTCAACTTTCGTATTCATCAAAAAGTTGAACGCAAAGGTGAACTATGTAAATACCAGGGGTGTATGGCGAACTTTTGTTCGTTCGCATGTAAGGTGGTAGCATCTAATGCACATGTGTGCTTTCGATACTTCTTTGTTTGCGTTTTTGCTCTATTCGTTTAAGAACTCTTTTAGCAAAGAGCCTACTGCATAAATTACATAAAACATATGCATGTATGTGTATATAGAGGTAAAGTAATATTCAAGAATCACCTGAGTGTTTGTCACTTTCTCCCGATGCATTTTCACTGGTGCTGCCATCATTCTCTTCATTTTCCTGCTGAAAAAATATATTGGCGATAGCTATGTGCATCGTTCGTGTACTATGCGCATCCATATAACGGCTTTTTGAGAGTTCAGCGCAGTAACTGTGACGCCACTCTAGCAGAACTTTGCCAGACATGATTTTATCACGCAACAAAAATTCTAAAAATAAAAAGTAGTAAGAAACACATATTGTTCTTAAATAGGTGATTTGTATTAGCGCGGGTCAGTTTTTTTTTTCGAGTATGCGCGTATAGCACAGGAGGATTCTACGTGTAATTCTAAGCAAATTTTCTGAAGAAACCATGGGTCTAAAATCAACTTGGAGTTTGCCGAATTGCGAAAATAGGTTTCGAAGAAAATGTGAAAATTTCCACTGTTTCAACCTCTGGTGGTGATTTTAAGAAAAATTGAAGTACAGAAATGGATTCCTTATATTAGTTTGTAGTATGTTTTGTACAAAATTTAAGCACTTCTTTACGGCACTGCAGCGAAATGATAAGAAACTTTTTTCGCAATTTGGCAAACTCCAAATTTATTTTAGACCCAAGATTTCTTCAAATTTACCCGCCCTAATGTATATACATACATACGTACAATATATATGGAATAGTTAGAACTAAATATGTTGAAAATTGAAATATGTAGTCGAAAAGTAATAGTCGCCTCAATTCCCCTCCCTTTACCCATACTCACTCATATCACTGTGTATTTGCTTGAAGGTAGAGAAATTGAAATTTCCTCTCTCCGCCTCAACGAATGCCTCTGGATCGTCCGTGAGCATCAGCAGCTCGAGCAATTCCGTTTCCGATAAACCAAACTCCGAGCAAGTAATATAACCAGCTAAGCGCGCTACACATTTCTTGCCATATCGCGCCTCAAGCCGTTCAAATTCGTGCGCTATAAAATCCGTAAACGATATATCCGGCAGGCCAGCAGCCACGGCCAGTGGCTTATGCAACTCAGTGCGATTTTCCTCAGCAGTTAAATCGAAAAGGAACTCTGCCGACTTGAAGCGATCACGTTGCATTGGTGTGAAGCGCAGCTGATCAATTGGTGTTGTTGTCGAGCAGATGAGTTGCACATTCCATGGCAAAGAGGTGGGCAGCCATGACAGTGCCGCCACCACGTCACAGTCAAGCGGATTTAGCAGTTGTAGATCGTCGATAAAAATGAAAAATATATCATTACTCATATCCTCGATGCGACGTAGTAAATTTTGGAACCAGCTGTTGATGTAGACCGGATCGAAGGAAGCATCTTTGGGTAAATAACCTTCGGGTATATTGTAAATAATGGAGATTTGCTGACAAATCACGCGTAATAATTCGAGATTGTAGGCAGAGCGCGGTGATGCGGCAGCAAAGCGCATAACGCGATAGACGCGTGTCGAATTGAACCAATCCTTACACTGGTGATACAAGTTCACCAGGAGCGCACTCTTGCCGCTGCCATGGGGGCCATAAATGAAGTAGGGTGCATGACGACTGCCATTGCGGAAATTGGCTAGCAAATTCTGACGCAAACGTCCCGGCACACGACTCGAAGCCAAAGCAACGGCATCATGATGTTCGCGAAGAATGCGCAAATGTGTGGCATGCTCGTGGAAGATTTCCTAGAAGTCAATAAAGAGAGAAATGTGGAAAATTAGCAACCAACGTTTGACTAAATTTAGTAAAAGAAAAAACTACTGTATTCCTTTTCCTCATACTTTTTCATTGATACCTTTTTGTGTAAAAAGTGAGGAAAATTACTTTTTTACCCTTCACACCTGCGTCGTTTAATTTGTAAAAATACGTACTCTCGGTATTCTTCTCTCGCTTCCTTTGCAATTGCTTCGTATTTAATGAATAAAAAGTAAAAAGAAAAAACAAAAACTGGAGAAGCTTTGCACATCTGAATACCCTCAAGGCTATTGGCACACTTTGCATCCGCTTACTTCCGCAAATTGCACAATCAGGCAGCGAATTGGAAACGTGCAACCAATACTACTTTTATCTACTTTATTACCCAGCAATCCCCCCCAATACGTTTGCCCCCCCAATACTATGTATTTAAACGGCTGATGAGTGGAAAGAAAGAATTGCAAGTATTGAAAATATGTTATTGTGGCTAAGTGAAGTCGGGTTGGGGTTGGGATGCTTCAGTTTTAAATGCGCTGCGACGTTGTTGAAGACTTAAAAAGCGGAGTTAATTAAAATCGAGAATGTGCTGAATTCATATGAATGAACGTTGAAATGCTAAAATATTATCAAAGAAATTTGACCCATCTGGCATAAAAAGTTTTCTTAAGAGGCTGCCTTGGTTTTATTTAGCTACGCAAATGGATTTTAGATACGCATTTAATTATAGAAATGAAAAAATGTGTAAAAAAATAAAAAAATAAGTAGGTATCTTCCCCTAGGTTGATAAGTCGCATTTAGACAAGAAGACTCAACCCGATATGTTGGCGATGCTCAAGATAAGTGGTGCTCAACGTCAGTGTAATCAATTTGTGCGGTTGTGTTGAGGCGCAGCTTTAAAAGCTCTTGTAACATTTTTATATAACATTTAACATTTTATCAAAATTTATTTCACCCTTCTTCCCTGCGTATATTTACAAATAAAAAAAGCTTATCTTGCTCATTAGCATACTGGGTCCAACCTGCGCGCCGAGGCAAACAAATATTTAAAGTTACATTCGTGTTGAGTGCAGAGTTGGATTTTGTTTTCTTTCTATGAGGCCCAGGGAAACAGTATTTGAAAAAGAGTTGCTCTTTTTACTTAATTTTTGCTCAGTAAAGTAGGCTCTTTTAACTGCTTTATTGCAGAGGTAGCGGCTGCACTTGAACACTGATGACGGGTTCAAATCTCTTGTGTAACTCTTGATAAGAGGCGGAGTTGGAACTAGCACTGAAGCTCAACTCTTCAGAAAACCTTTAGATAGTCCTCCCGATTTTTCTATGCCTGCGTAGTTTGCAGTCCAAAAAAATCAATCAACGTTTATATATACAACAAACACAGGCTTCGGCCTCGCCTGCAGGACCAGCAGACACGAGGCTGTTGCCCCATTGTTGAAGAAAAGCGCTTTCTTTGTTATCTTTTCAGACAGTAAAGCGGAGATCAGGGTCCTCTCCACTAGGAAAAGGAGTGCTTCGATACTCTTCACCCCTTGGCAGCAATGACCAATTTTTTATTTTTATTTTTATTTAAGTTTTTTGTTTTTTGTCGGAACCAGGCTCAAAACAACGCGTGCAGAAAACTACACTCAGACTACATGCCGTCCATTGTATTGTTTTCATCTCCCTTTTAATCTGTTTTAAATCTTCATTATTTACGAATAAACCTAAGCAGATTGTTGGGTGTTAAAGAGCTCAGGTGTTCGCCTCTCAAGACATCGCGGCCAAATATCCCATACCTAATTCTTGCAAAGGCAGGGCAGAAGCACAAAAAGTGTTCCAACGTCTCATCCTCTTTAAGGCAGGATGAGCAAATGAAGTTGCCTATCACAGTCAGGCGTTTGTGCCACGGGAAGTGATCAGTCAGCGGTCCAACAAGTTGTTTGCAGTTCCATCTGCTCAACGAGAGAAAAAAAACTAGATAGACCTTCTGAGATTGAAGCAACATGAGTTTTGTCCACCTGCAGCTCCTCGATACCTCCTAGTCATTGCTGAGCGAAGTATTCACGTATTCGATGGCCGAAGGTGGTAGTGCTATAACTGGTTGCGGACCGAGGAACACCTGGTCTGAGCCAGGAATAAAGTAACACTAGGCACTAGGGTAGCGGGATATTGAAGGGAACGAGGTCGCACATTGGGGGCGTCCCCATATAAGCTGTGGCCAAAAGAAATAACCGTACTACAAATCCGCTGAAATTTTGTATATGCGCTATTCGGCACTTAAGAATGAAGAAATGTGGAAAATAGTAAAATTCAACGCGCTGCCACGTCCCCTCTCTTGTGGGCGGAAGAATAATGAAGAGTTTTTTTTATATAATGCCCACCTCGTACGAAACTCTTTTGGCTCCAAGCACTAAATTTTATGAAGTTTGGAGAAAATTGACACATTTATTTTATTTTTAACGCAGCTCATATTTCTTCCTTAAAAAAATGACAAACCGAAAATATTTACAACACCTGCATACTAAATTATTTGCTTGATATGTATTTGCACTGAAACTTTCAATTCTACCTACGCTTTATTGAACAAAAGTTGAGCTAAGGCAAGAAGGACTTTTGCCATCAAAAACGGATCTCGTTCAGAGAACCGTCCACTTTTGGCTGAAAGCTGAATGTGATTAATAGATTCGCGAGTCATTAATATCTACACCTTCTGTGGGTCACTGACTAACCGACAAGAAAATGATCTAACTGTCGTTTTCAATGAACTCACATGGAATTTCTTCAAAATAAGAGGCGATTGAAGGTATTAAAATCTTCGAAGGAAATCCTCGCGTGGATGCCGACACTCTTGCATCCAGATCAGCACGCGTACAGAGCGGATAGATCTACAGATATTACTCTGTACGCTCTGACTTCGAAAATACAGGAAACCTTCGAGTGTGGACGAACAGTGCTCTGTGCCTTCCTTGATATCGAGGCGGCGTCCGACAATAAATCCCATAGAGGACTTAATCTAGTTAAGAGGTTGTTTCGAAAGAAACTATAAGGTTGAAACACACAGCATGGCGACCTGGAGTACTTCTATCATAGACCAAGGATTCAGGGGTGGGGAGAAGGTGTTTATGGCCCTAGGCTGATGATTTAGGTGCCTCTGGAAACCTTTCCTAGCATATTCCAAGCGGAAGTCTATGCCATAAGTTTGTGTACTGAGATTGCCAAGAAGGCACCATTATACCTCCTTCTAGAATGTGAGGCCATCGCACTTAGAAGAGAGAGGAGCGTATGGCAATTATGGCCGAGAGGACCAAATTCGCTTTCTGCCCCCGAGTTCAATTCTGAAATTTCTAGAATCTCTAGTGCTAGGTGAAGTACTGTGATGAGCTGGGGGAACAATATACCTACTGGTCGCAGTGCTTTATTCAACTATCTATCTCTCTATCAAGCACTGAAAGAGCATGCACCATGTCGGGTTGACTTCCAGTTAAGATCTTGCAAAGATCAGGAATCCATGCTGTGTGCTAATCTTTGTAATAGATGTGACACTCCAAAATGGTTTTGACTATGTTTGTGAGGCGAAATTCGAATGGGGCTTGATCGGAGCTATCTTCGAACCAGTCCCCAAAAAGGTTGCATTTAAGGCCTTACTCACGATAGCCTCGTGGATGTACGACTAATTTTCAACACCACTCGCCGGACACAAATATGAATAAAAACGACTACAAAAACAACAACGCAAACAAAGAGATAGACACTCTTAAAGAATTAGAAGAGCAGCTGCATAGACACGTACTATGGGGCCAGTACCAAAATAAGGCTACCAAACAGCGTAGTGAGTTTAAACAGCTACTTTGTTGAAATTCAGGCAGAGTTGGAATGGGCAAACGCTGTCATAACGGACTACCGGCTATCGAAGCAGAAAAAGCCACAGGTAATCAGCAAACGTCACAGATCAGGTGAAATCATGCTAGCTAAGCCCAAGAGGGTCAGCAGCTTTCGAAAAAGGGTATAAATTAGATATCCCTGGCAGAGAGAAATGGATGTAGGACGCTCCGAGATTCTTTGATTCTATTCGATGCTACACTAGCGGATCTAAAATGGAAACCAAGGTCGGGGGGTGAGTGAACTCGGAACGACTTGGAGTACAATTGGCCGCATATCACTTAAAGTGATAGCAGTTTACTCTTCACCAGATATATGTAGGTACCGGGACACAGAGGTATACCAGAGGTATGAGAGATGAAAGAAAGCGTACTTCCCTTAGACTTTCACCGTTTTGGAAGAGATTGGGCATTTCGAGCACCACTTGCAAGCTCACTACTACACAATAATTTATGTATCTATGCTGAGCAGAGAAGAAGTTTCCTTGGCTATGCGTCTACTAACACGCTGATAAAAGCAACATGTAAATACCGTTACTTTTTTATAAAAACATTAAATGAAGGTCCAACACATCTTGATACTTGTTCCACGTTTTTAACTATGAGTCAAACAGCCGTTTTACGGCGGCTGTTGAGTCCGCTTTGTTGTTGGAATAATGCATTTTTAATGTCACACTTAGTCGACATCCGTAAAATAAGAAAGCATTTGACAAGCATGCTCCTCTAAACAAGCGAATCCTTCACAACTGACACTTCCCTTGCCACTAACGCTAAGCTACCTTGAACACGTTTAGCGTATTTATACATTTTTTTTTCTTACTTATTTACATAAAGTGCACTTTCGCTTTTTTGTTTTTGCTTAAGCCGCCGCTGCAATTCAGTGCGCTATGTGGCATGATGCAAATTCATTACTTAAAATGTATGCAAAGTAAGCGTTTTTCGCACTGTTCGCTGCCCTCATTTTGCTTATTTTCCCCCTCTTGCGCTCAACCTCTCTATTCTTAATGGTTATTTTAACTTTTCATTTTTGAATATCCAAATATCACGTTCCGCATCAAGAGATATTTTCACCTCCACCTCCATTCGTTGCAACACCACGCACGCCTTCGCCGCTGCAACATAAAAAAGGTGCAACT